TCACTCGTGCTTGAATCCCTGTTCAGCTATTGCCTGCCATGGGTATGGTGTCCCTCTGAACCAAACCAAAACCCTGTTTTGCAGTTCATGAAGCCTTGGGTTCCTCTGCTATTTCTCACGGGCGCTCTCAGCCCTGGGCTCTTACTTTGCTCTGGGGAGCTGGGTGCTCCTTCCTGTGAGCTGGGGAGAGACTGCAAATTGTTTCCTTCTTTTCTGTGTGTTGCAGACTGTCTTTGTAGCTTCTAATGTGGCCTTTTCTGTAGCTTCTAATTTGTTTCTTCAGTTCCTTCCTGGTGCAAGTAATCTGCCTCTCTGTTTCTCTTTCTTTTTTCACCAAGTTGTTATTTTCAGTGTCTGAGTTCTGGATCTTGGAGAGGCTGAATTTTGCTACTGATCACCACGCTGCTATTTTCTGTCTCTACCCTTCAGATTTAAATAAATTGTAAGTGTAGGAAGAACGTGCAGGGTGGAGGGGATCACAAATACAGGAGATGCACTGTGGGATATTAAAGGAAGCAAGTGGTAAGAGTTTAGGTCAGAAAGGTACCTCTATCATTTGTAGTTTGCTGTATTTGCTTGTATTTTAACTTGTTGAGCAGTAGGTTTTTAATTTGAGTAATTTCCTAGAAGTTAGCATCTTATTTTTATATCATTACGGTGGATGAGAAAGAGAGGGGCTGAGGCATAGCTAAGTGATACAGCACTTGCTTAGCATGCCTGGTTTCCATCTCTACCCCCCACCCCACAGACACAGAGTGCGGGGAATGAATATGAAACTGTTGGCTATAAGGGAACCAAGGAGTTGCAGCAGGTGCTGCCTTTTTTGTACATTTGCTGCTTTGAGATAGGATCTTGCTATCTTCCCCAGGCTGGTCTTGAGTTCCCCAGCTCATAGGAATCCTCCTGCTCCTGCCTCAGCCTGCCTAGTGTCAGTGACTTAAAGTGTGCACTGCTGTATACAGCTTGAGGGACATGTCTTCCTAAAAGCCATTGATGATCCACTCCATAATGGAATTTTGGTAATGAAGCTCATTTATATTGAAGTTTTGTTCTTTTCACACTTGTCAAGATAAGTCACACTTTGTGAGTATATTTCATATAACTTAACAGCAGGGTTCTAGCTTAGATTCTAGCCCTTCAGTTGTGCACATGAGTGTCCAGAGAGCCAGTATGGCTTGGTGGGTAAGAATTTAGCCTCTGTCATTTGATCTCTCCCCATTCCAGTCCTGGCTTTACCCCTACAGGTTTCTTTACCTGGGCAGCTTCCTTGGTTTCTGTGAGCACAGTGTTCTCATGGCAGAATGAAAAACTCAGCAAGACCAGTGCATGGCTTTTGCAAATAATCTAGATGAAGCTGGTGGGAGGTAGGACGTAGCAGGTGGAGGTGGAGGAAAGTAGTCAGCCCCAGAATGAATATTACAAGTATTTGATGACAAATTCAAAGTGGGGTATAAGAAAAAGAAGAATCAGTGACATCAGCGTTTTTGGTGTGAGGACCTAGAGGTGGCATTTGCTGAGATGAGTATGCTTTTTATAAAGGAATGCCATGCTGTTAGTAGGCACAGCTTTTTTTGTTTCTGTTGCTTTTTATCTTTTGTAGGAGGTGGGTGAAATTGAAAGCAAGCAACGAGTTCCAGCCAGGCATGGTGGCACATGCCTGTAATCCCAGCACTCAGGAAGCTGAGGCAGGAGGATTGTTGTGAGTTTAAGGCCTGCTTGGGCCACATAGTAAGTCCAAGGCCAGCTTGCACTACATAGTGAGACCCTGTCTCAAAAACCAAAACCAAAACCCAAAAAAAGTTCTTTATTTTTTTGTCTTTTTTGAGACAGGGTCTTGCTATGCAGTTCAGGCTGGCCTTGAGCTCACTTTGTAGCCCAGGCTGGTCTCAAACTTGCAACGATCCTCCTGCCTCAGTCTCCCAAGTGCTGGGATTACAGGCATGTGCCACCACGCCTGGCCTTTCTTTTCTTTTCTTTTTTTAAATTTTTGGCATAGTTTTTTCTTTTTTGGTACCAGGAATCGAACTCAGGACCTTGCACTTGCCAGGCAAGTGCTTGTGCCACTGAGCTATCTCGCCGGCAAAAAAATGGAGTTCCAAGCAAAGCAGATCTTTGTGCCCATCTTTTGAGATCATGATTATTTGTTTTATAGTTTTTCCTTTGAGCTTCCTTAAGAAAGGTGGTGTTGGTCACACTGATCCTTAGACATGGGTGGTCTTGCTGACTGAGACACCTAGTAATGCTGGACCTAGAAAGAGTTTGTGCTTTTGCCTGCACCTTCATTACCTGGACCTGACAGCTGACCCTCTTTTCATTCCCCTTAATTGCCAAACAGGTTAATTCTTTTTCATTTACTTCTTACATGTGTACTGAGATTCTGCAATATGCATTTTTTTTTTTTTTTTTTTTTTTTTTTTGCTGTAAAGCAATCTCACTTCAGTTAATATTTCTTTGTTACTTAAACATTTTAACAGGAAAATGGAACAGAATGTTTCCCTTTGCTGTTGAAGGTGTCCTATTTGTTATAAGGCTTCTGAAAGAATGTAGTAGAGGTAGATTCATCAGTAGTAGTCCTTTTTTCATGTATGTGTGTAGTTCTTAACTAGGGTGATGTTAGAATTTCTCTCCAATCCTAGACACTGTTGAGAGTGAAGAGAGAAACAGGGTGACACCAGAACAGCGAGCTTAAACCAGGACTATTCTGGGCAAGTTAGAATGTACGGTCACCTAAGCGAGGCATGGTGGCACATGCCTGGAAACCAGTACTTGGAAGGCTGAGGCGGGAGGATCATTGTGAATTTGAGGCCAGACTACAAAGCAAGACGCTCTCAAAAAAAAAAAAAAAAGGGCTTGATTAAGGTTCATTTCCTGCCTAAATGCTTGGCCTTATTGGGAGAAGGCAAATGCCCTGTAAATACCAAAGGCAGTTGCAAAGGAAATCCATGCTCAGGACAGTAGATGTAAGAAGTCAATCATCTTCTTGCAGATTTGTTTTAGTAGCTGTTACTTCAGATACAGAATTGGATGGTAGCATTAAACTTCAATTGCTTTGGTTCCTCAGGTACAGATAATATACAGGTAGCTTATATGCTTTCAGAAGTAATATAAAATGTGGAAATATTCTGTTTATTTTTGGGGAGGCAATTTAAGACAGGGTCTCTGTATATAGTTGAGGCTGACCTTAAACTCACTGTGTAGTCCAGGCTGGTATTGAACCCAAGGTGATCCTCCTGCCTTAGCCTCCTGAATGCTGGGATTATAGGCGTGCACCACCACGCCTGGCTATTCTGTCATTTTAAGTAGTAATTCAGACACTTGTATCTAATAACCCTTTGTAATCTTTAAGAGTAGAAATCTACCTGAATATACATAGCAGATGGGTTATTCATACTCAGTGTTATGCATTAGCACAAGTGAATTAAGATACTGTTGTTGGAAGGGGGATACTACAAAGAATCAACAACTGGGATCTCATCCTATTAAAAAGCTTTTGCACAACGAAAGAAATTACCAGTAGCGGAAAAGACAATCTATAGAGTGGGAAAAAATTTTGGCCCGTTGTCCCTCAGACAGAGGACTAATATCTAGAACATATAAAGAATTGAAAAAAGTTAGATGCCCCCAATTTAAAGACCCAGTCCAAAAATGGGCATCTGAGATGTATAAATACTTCTCAGGAAAAAATACAAATGATAAGTAAATAGATCAAAAAATGTTGGACATCATTGGTCATTTGAGATATGCAGATTAAAACAACACTAAGATTCCATCTTACTCCAGAACGAATGGCAATTATTAAGAAATCAACCAATAACAAATGCTGGGGGAGCTGTGGGGAAAAAGAAACCCTTTGCTGCTGTTGGTGGGAGTGTAGACTGGTGCAATTAGTGGAAATCAGTGTAGATTCCTCAAAAAACTAGGACTAGAGGTCTCGTTTGACTCAGCTATTCTCCCTCTGGATATCTTGCAGAAGAATATAAGTCATCATATCACAGTGATATATGTGCACCCATGTTTATAGAAACACAGTTTGTAATAGCTAAAATCTTGGAAACAACTCAAATGCCCATCAATGGATAAAAAATCTTGGAAACAACTCAAATGCCCATCAATGGATAAAAAAAGGATGTGATTTTTTTTTATATAGTGGAGTACTACTCAGCCACAAAGAAGCATAAAGTTGAGATATTTCTAGGTAAATGGATGCATCTCAAGACCATACTCTTAAGTGGAATAAATTGGACACACATGTGTAAATATTGCATTGTTTCTCTGGTGTGAGAAACAGAAAATGTATATAAGAACCCAAATTATAATAGGTATTGTGAAATGGGAAGAAACTCTTCAAAAGAAATGGGAACTAGGGAGGAGCGGGGAGGGGAAAAGGAAGGAAGGGAAAAGAGAAAAAATGGTAAAAGAAGGATAAAGTGGAAACAAAGCTTTGTAAATAGGAGGGAAAAGGGGTTGAAGGGAGGGGAGAAGATTGGGAAAAAAAGAGGAATGAAGATATGTCATATGTAGGCACAAATTCCCTATGAGGAATATGATTATTGTGTATATTTAAATTATACTAATAAACAATAAAAAGGTAACAGTTGTGTTAAATGAGGTTAAAACATAAACGAGCTTTTTTACCATCACCATGGAGAGTGCATGTATAAACTTTTCTTGTATAGGAAAGAAGTGGTTTTTAACTTCAAGGCAAATAGTGCTAAGTTAACATTGGTCTTTTAAAAATATCTGTATCTATATCTATATCTAAATATAGATATATCTAGATATATATCTTAACATCCCTGTTTTTTTGTAGTCTTGTTTTATCTATCAGTGTATTGAGAAAAAAAGAATTTTGTATGACAGTATATATTCTTCATGCTATTTATTTATTTATTTATTTATTTATTTATTTTATTCTTCATGCTTTTAAGTGATTGTCTAGTTTGCCTTTATGATGTATTTAACCAGACTCAGTCTGTGCTCATTTTCCTTGTTTTCCCTAGCATTGTAAATAAGAGTGGTACAAAAATCCCTGGAGCTGACTCAGTGAGAATTGATACATTTCCAGAAGCTTAATTGCGGACCACAAGGATGCAGGCTTTTGGCATACATTGCCATATTGCCCTCCAGAAGCATTTCACTAGTTTAAATTCTTACCAGTGTAAGTCATTGTGCTCTACTCTTGTACCTTTTTCAGGAATCTTTTCTAGTTTTATAGGTAGGAAGTGTTTGCTCATTACTTTATATCTTTCACTTTACTGTCAGGATGAGTGTTTTTAGTGTTCTGTTTTCATTTCTTTCTTTCTTTCTTTCTTTCTTTCTTTCTTTCTTTCTTTCTTTCTTTCTTTCTTTCTGCCTGCCTGCCTGCCCGCCCGCCTGCCTGTCTGTCTGTCTGTCTGTCTGTCTTTTTGAGACAGGGTCTCACTATGCAGTTCAGACTGGCCTTGAGCTTACTTTGTAGTCCAGGCTGGTCTCAAACTTGCAATGATCCTCCTGCCTCAGCCTCTTGAATGCTAGGATTACAGGCATGTGCCACCCCACCTGGCTGGGATGAGTGTTTTTAGTGATTTAAGCCATGTACTTTTTTTTCCTGTGACACATGTCTGCTTATCTCTGACTTGTTTTTCTGTTACTTTGTGTGTATGTATGCTTACACATTCCTCATATTAAGAGCTTTAATGTACTTTAAAATCCAAATGTAATTTAAAATTCACTGTCATTTCAATTTTTCAAATAACTAGGAGAATGCAAATCACAGTTGCTGTACCTTTTCTAGCAAAATTACTTTCTACGATATTACGAAACTTGTGGGAAGACTAGTCCAGTCAGACATTGTTTACAACGTTATAAAGTATCCAGTTCTTTACAAACAATAATATAATAAACATTAAGAGCTATAAAATGTAAATATTTAAAGCAAAAATTCAAATGTACATATTTAATAATTCTATACCTAAACATTTATAAGAAAATAATTGAAAATATGCTACATGCACTAAATAATTTATTGCAGTAATATCTAGAATAATAAATCAGAAACAGTGAATAAATTAAAAGTAATGGTTAGCTAAATTAGATTTATCCTTCAGGTATTAAGGTAGCATTAAAATAATTAGGACCTTGAGCTGAGTGTGATGGCACATACCTATAATCAGGAGGCTGAGGCAGGAGGATCGGAGCTGGAGGCCAGCCTGCACTACAATAGTGAGTTAAAGGCCAACTTGAACAACATAGTGAAACTCTGTCTCAAAAAATAAATAAAATAAAATAAATGAAATGGTTAGGACTTTACAAATTGGCATTAAGAGTGGCCATGTATGGAGTGAAGCAGAATACAAAATTATTTCAATTTTATTATTAAAACTGAATAAAATATACATAAAAACAAAACCATGAATGAAGTATTGTGAGTTGTTTATGTCCTCAGTTATGTGTGTAGTGTTTCCTAGATATAACTATAAAAAGCTCATATTTATTAATTACTGTGTGCTGTTTAACAACAATAGTGTGAAATAGGAATTGTTATTTTCAGTTAACAAGGAAACTTTCATTTGTTTTTTTTTTTTAATTTTAAAAATAAAAGGAAAACATTAACGGACAGACAACATTTTATAAAACAGCAAAAGAACAGCACAGACAGTACGGAGTTACAAAGTGGTAGGGAATTAACAATGCTTGTTGTATTACATATTGATACCTTCAAAGTGGTTTCTCATGAAAACAGATATAGACATGCAATGCTGATCAACCAGGGCCTCATTGACAGTTTCTTTCAGCAAAGAAATGCAAGACAGTAGAACAGCCATGTTAACTATCCTGCATATACATACATACAAAATTTCTCCTTCTTTCCCTTCTCCTTTCCCACATCCCAGTTGCCCTTTACCTTTGAGTGCTTTACTATCAATTTACAATGTCTATCATATCTCCTAGTTTAAATTAACTCTTTTATGTCTTACACTAGTGAAACAATGCGGTGCTTGCGCATGTATGTTTGATTTATTTCACTTATGAGTATGGTCTCTAGTTGTGACCATTTACCTATAAAAGCCTTGAGTTTATCTTTCTTTACAGCTGAGTAATATTCCATTATATAAAAGTACCACAATTTTCTTATCCAATCCTCGGTGGATGGACATTTGGGTTGCTAAGGAAACTTTCATTTGACAGGTAAAGAAGTTTATTATTATAGATGTTTTCAAATATGTACAGAAATAGAAAGCATATCATAATGAATGCCATGGAACTGCCCCCTGGCTTCACCACTGTCAGTTTGCATTTTTAGTAAGTTGCAGAGTAGGGTTTAAAGTCACACCTCTCTTACTCCAGAACCCATGCTTTTAGTTATAGTCCTTATTTTGTCAGGTGATGGATGCTCCTGTGGATCTTAGGACTGGTTGGTATTTTGGTAAAATTGACAGGGGAAGGGCCCATGCTGGCTCTTGCGCATCAGAACGCTGAGCGTCTGGGTGGTGAGGAGGTGGAGAAAGCCCTCTTTAACCCCATGTATTTTGTAAGAAGTGTATTTTAGCTGCAGTGTTCTGCAAAGACAAAACCTGCTGATACAAGTTTGTCCTGCTTTATAAATCTTTGACCCATTCTTCAAACTGTGGCCGCTCTGAAGGTGAAGGCCTATGGGTGTATTGGTCTTTCTGACTAAAGTGGCCTTTTGAGGGTTAGGAAATTGTGTAATTATTAACTGTGGTAATGGACATGTGCTTGCAAGTTTCATCTGGTATCTCCATGAGCTTTACCCTCCAAGTACACCCAGAACATACGCTAGAGTCTTTGAAACTCATCTGTTGTCCTTGGCTTAACTCTCATATGTAATTTTGCTAAGAAAAACATTGTTTCCCCTGCCCTTACCACTCCTCACACTCTACTCATATACACATAACTCCTATAAATTGTAGTACTTAGGAGCAGCAGCCTTGGTATAAAGAGTTTGTTGTTGTTTTGTTTGTTTAGTTACTCATGTTTAAGCCAGGCACAGTGGCACACACTTGTAGTCCCACCACTCTGGAGGCTGAGGCATGAGGATTGCTGTGAGTTAGAAGCCAGCTGGGCCTACGTAGTGAGTTCAGGTCCAGCCTGGACTACATAGTGAGCCTTAACTGGAAGAACAAGCCAAAACTAAGCAAAACAAAAAAACAAATGACTTGTTTTAAGGTAACTTTTAGAAGGCAGGAGCCCCACATTTAGAGAGAAATTTATGGGACACATGGCAGAGAAAGACTACAGTAGTGCTACATTTCAGTAGATTATGCTGTTGAGTTTTGACTCATCTTGGGCATTGCCTGCCTGGGAGATTTCTCTGAACTCTCAAGGCTACTCTGTGTCACCCTGGGTACTCCATCATCAGTCCCTGCCCAGAAAACTAGTAGGTTCTTGGAGCTTATCTGTGATTTCCGCTGTGAGACATGGTGACGCAAGAAGCCTAGGTCTGAAGTTCAGGAGTGAACAGGCGCATTGTGATTTGTAAAGTGTCATTGGATGTGGGGACAGTAAAAGAATGGGCCTAGACAAGGTCCCCCAGAGATGTGTGAAATAAAGAGATGGCTCAGGGAAGGTGAGACGAAAGCCAGAGCAGTGAGGGCTGGGGAGGAGAGGGTGCACTAGAGGAGAGTTCCGGCTGGGAGTGGTGCAGCACAGATTGCTCACTCGGCAATCTGAGTTTCATTACTCTCTGAGTAGAGAGAAGGAATTAAAGTCAGATTCCAGAACCCTAGGAGAAGTTGGTAAGCGAGGACACAGAAGCAGTGAGTGTTGTAGCCCTTTCTAGACGTCTCGGAGATGACCTCCAGCAGGATGTCCTTTGGGTAAGCCAGATGGGGTAGTGCTCCTGACCCTGTGTTGGGGCAAGTAGTAGGGATGACTCCTGGGCTGTATTGTGCTCCTTTTTTTCTGAACATTTAACAGCATTAGAAATTATTTTATTTATTTATCTATTTTTGAGACAGGGTCTGCTGTGTAGTGCAGACTGGCCTGGAACTCACTGTGTAACCTAGGCTGGCCTCGAACTTGCTGCGCTCCTCTTGCCTCAGCCTCCTGAGTGCTGGGTTACAAGCATTCGCCACCATTCCTTGCAGTAATGATTTTAATAAATGGATATATTTTTTTTTTTTTTTTTCCGGTACCGGGAATTGAACTCATGACCTCATGCTTGCCAGGCAGGTGCTGTGACACTGAGCTAAATCCCCAGCCCGATTTTAATAAATGGAGTATCAACATTTTCATAGTCCTGGGAGCCTGTGACAAGTGCAGATAAGGCAGTCCCACATTGGTTGTGTTGTCCCAGTCTTCTCCTCTCCAGGGGCGCCCCAGCTTTTAATTGCATATTACTCATATTCGCTCATTATCACATTAGGTCTCCCACTAGACTAGAAACTGAGTAACACTCCTGGTTGTTGTTGGATTCTCAGTATCCAGCATAGTGTCCAGAAAGTAGTATTTAGTGTTTATTATGTGAACGATTGAACAAATAAACTCATACATACCTGCTTTTTAAAGCACAAAATAATTCTAATTTGGTAGTCTCATGGAATATAAAAAATGTAGAGTGTTGAGGAAAGAGGAACTTATAGTTTCAGTGGCAGTAAACACAGACTGAAAACCAGCCTTTGGATCTGGCTATTAGAAGGTCACTCATTTCCAGAGTGCAGGTATCATAGCAAAATTGTTTGGATAGGAACCACATTTAAGTGAAGAGTAAGTGAGAAGTGAGAACAAAGTAACAACATAGAAGAAGTTTCTTTATGTTTTGTTTCATTTTTGAAAATTTGAGGCTACTGGGAAGAAACCATTGAAGAAACCCAAAGATTTCAGAGAGAATTTATTATTATTGGTAATGTTACGCACTTGATTTGCTTAGATCAGAACACTCCCATGAATACATCAGGATAATATATTCTTTCCTCTTCATAGTTTTGATGCCTAGTTTGAACATGGAGGTTTTTGCTATGCTGTTTGGGACCTCCTAGTGGCAAATCTAATAGTGGCATATACATAGTAAAACAAATTAGATCTGATACACCAGTTATTTCTTATGTACATTTCTATAATCTTTTATTAAGAATTAAATAAGAGTGGGATTGGGGTAGTTATAGTAATGCTTAGTTGTTTGATTTTCAATGAGTCATAATTTGACATGTAAAATTACTA